TCTTAAGTATTTTAGAAGTAATGTAGAGCGAGACATATAATTTCGATAAAAACTAAATATTTTTAATAAAATATCTGCATATAACAATCTATTATCATAGGTGTACTGAGTTACATGATTAATCTATTAAATCAAACCTAAGTTAATTATATTTTAATGATAGTGATGCAGTCGGAATGCTAAACTCTGGTTTGATTTCGACACAAAGTGACGATTATTTTCTGACTTTTTTTGAGAATAAAGCAAATGCGTTTATCTCATCGTCGTATCATAGGTAGAAAAGCCAGAAAACGTATATTAATGCGTTTTCAATAGGGACGAGTTTACACGTGTTTTGGTTTTCGAAAACGCGTTCAAACGGCATCTTTTGATATAAACCAGTTAGAATGCTGTAGAACTAGAATTAACAAGTTGGGTTTATTTGTTCCAAACGCATTCAGAGCTCTGAAAATGTTGCATAGCTTGTAGACATTCAGGGAGGCTTTAGGAGTTTAAGCATGAATACATGGGCGATAAAAAGAATATCATTAAGCTATTCTAATTTCAATAAAAATAGATGGGTTTTCGTATAGTATCTACTAATCAGGTTCTTATTGTAAACTTAGATCAGTTTGTATGATTTTGAATCGCTGCACACAGAAATAACGAAAACAAGATAATCATTATTGATTGAAAACTGAAAGAGATATTTGTGAAAAATTATCCTGCTTAAAATATATATAATAAAGAACCATTTATAGAAATATTCTTCGGCTTCGTATTCTTGTTCAAATGAGTTAATAGAAAACTGATATGTTTATTTAAATGAATTAGAAACATCAATTTTTTTCTTTCAGCTACTATCTTCTAAATCTAATACAACTATACAATAGAATTTCCTGCAATCACAATACCATTGCAACGAAGATGTAGCACGTCAGACTTGTGGATGCATTTTCGCACAGATACAACTTTCTTTTTAAAGTACTTATTCTCACTAACTAAATTATATAACTATTTGAAATAATAAAATGAATACTTTATGATGAGTTGATTAACAATAGGATTAGTAATGAAAAAATAATATCATATGCAGGAAAATAATTAAGAATTTTTGAAATGAAAAGTACATTTCTTAGTGAATGATAACCTTATCTGTTCTACATCGACCAAAGTTTTCTGGTGAATACATTTCTTCAGCTTTAGCTGGCGGAATGATAAATGTTCCAGCACATGTTGCACGCATGACATAACTCCATTCATACACATCAGGCCATAACAATGATCGAAATGCTTCAGCACGTTCATCTCTTAAGTTTTCATGCTTAATCCAACCAAGAGTTGAATATGATCGATATCCACAATAATAAAGATTTCTGTTTGATCTTATTACTGATGATTGTGTATCCCCGATCAAAGTGCCTTTTAATCGTGTATTTAATCGTTCACAACCAGCTAGTAAATAATCAACTAATGCTATATGATATCGTCGTTGTTTTGTTGTCATTGTTAATATAACTTTGATTTTTTCATTTAACTTGAATTTCCATGTACCATCTGATTGTTTCTGAACATGTGATGAATCATCGATAGTTCTGTATGTTCGTTCAATTTTAAACCCATAATTAACTGCATTCAATTGTAGATTTGATGAAGCATAATTCAATGCAATACGATAATATTATCGACCATTACCATCTTTGTGCATTATTAGATTCTTATTATTATCATTGTTAGTTGTGTTGGATGATGATGGCGACAAAATTGTTTTCATTGGAATATTTATTGTATGTGTATTTGTTGTTCGACCTTTATATTAAGAAACGAAATAAACTTACAATTGTACAAGTCAGAGTTTAATAGACATATATTCAGAAATAAAGAGATACAAATAATTTTTTGTAGAGAAAGAAAACTCATTTAAGAAAGCTTGAGAACTAACTAAAAGATCTAAACAGATAAGCAATTATCCAGAAAATAATGTCCCATTTTGATCCCAATTCTACTAAAATACTAACATATGAATATGATTATATTCACAATATTGATAACAGACTCATCATTTTTCTTTTAATATGATCTTACCTTTATATTGATGTTGACCACAATAATTATTGTCTAGCCAAATATTAGCTACAAAATCGGGTGTATCCTTTTCTTTTATGTGAAAATATTTATCTAATGCAATTAATACAAAACAATTTTCTTGTGTGAACTTCCATGCACCTTTTACTTTATGTGCTTGTAAACCTTTACATAATTTAGTACAGAGAGTTGAATTTGGATCAATATATAACAATAATTCTAATCATATGGCATCTGTTCGTTGATTTGAATGTAACATAACTGATTGACCATCATGACCATATGATGTAATAAAATAAGCTGTTTCACTTGTTCCACTTACTTTATCTTTTAAATGTTTATATATTGTTTCGATTGTTTGATTGTTATGAGTATTTTTATTCATAGATAATGCTACTAATAACCATCCTAATGCTTCTAAACTAAGTTTATCAAATCCACTTCGCTTAAATAATTGTGAAGCTTCATCAGCCACATTTTGAAGATGTTTTGCGCATACATATAATGCATAACTCATCAAACTAAATCGAGTTATTTGAGACCAATATTTAGTGTATGATAATTGATTAATTTCAGGTTCAATATTTCCAAGATATTTTAGTGCATTGTTCAGCATAGTCTTGTCAACATAAAATACCTTTAATATAATGAAACATTTTTCAAAGAAATGGTTGACATTTAGAAGTTTTATATACTATAATTTGAAGTGCAGTTTTAAACAGAAACTTCCGAAACTTGCAGTATAGTTCTACCTACACAACTGCTATTTATTGCTCACAATTTAGAACAAATTTTATTAATGGTCATTTATACAATAAAACTCGTACCTTTTTATTCACAACAACAGCTAAACAATGTGCAATATGTACACTCATAAATGGATTAGCGTAAGAATCATTTCGATTTGTCCAATAACCAAATCCACCACTTGAATATTGACGACCTTTTAGTATATTCAGATCTGACTCTAGTTTAGTTTTAAATAATGATATTTCTGGTAGATATTTACAATGAAATGCTTGTAAAACATCCCATAGTGCTTGTATACCTAACAGTCTTGAACTTATTTGTTCTGTACATTCATATGGATATGTATAGAGTGAAATAATTGCATCTGTTAATGATGCTAATGCTGTTGAACTTATTGTTATTGATAATTCACCAAATTGTAGTATAACATTTTCTGGTGTCTTTATCGGTTGTAAAACTACTTCTTCATATATATCACCACATGTTGCAAATGCTTCAGATGTTGCTCGTGTGAATACAGGTAAACTTGGCTCAATTGCATCGCCAAATGGTGCACATGCGTCATTTTTGACAGTACTGATTATGAACTGAAATCGAGTTGTACCAGAATGAATTGTTGATACCGAATATGTGAGAGCAATTCGTTTATTTGGTTGTAGTACAACTGAATAACCAACTGCTTGTTGATTTGTTTGTGATATTAATAATTTAACATTAGTTGCTCTTCAACCAGCGTGTAGTAGTAATGATAAATCAGTTTGATTTTGTAAAATAACTGAGAAATGAGATGTATTACCATAATTAAGAAATCTTGGTGGTGTAGGTTGAATCATAATTGGTGATTGTACAGTGAATGACATTTCATCTAAACCATATTGTTTATCATTCGTTGCTACCATTCATACACGATATCGTGTTAAATTATCAGGCAATTTAATTTCAAATGAAACACGCCCTGATGAATTAGCGATTGATGATGGTATCTAACACGCTAGTGGATTGAAATTCGATCGAACAGCGATGTTTTGTTCAGCATCAGAATCATTGAAACCACTATGTGTGGTCTTAGGCATTTTCATTGATAAGTTTTTGCATGATTGCATGAACTGAAACGAATCTTGTTTTTGTTACATATCTTTCTTGAATTTTTCTATATCTTGCATATGGAATAACAAACAACGATTTCTATCATGGTGTTGTGTAATATTTGCTGATCGATTGAAGATTGTTTGAAAACAAATATATATATATATATATAGGCATTTCTATTTAACTGTTACGTGTGATAAACTAATTGTATTTATTATCGATGGCATTTACAGCGTTGAATGTTTTTTTTTTGAGTTCTCTTTATGTACTATCAACTCGAATGACTTCAATGGTTCGATTGGTGAGATGATTTCAAATGAGTCTAAGCTGACAACTTTGAACTCGATACAGACAACACGAACTTGTACATCACCATCGAAACTGTTTCCAATCGCACAGCCTTGTACAAAATGTAGAGCATGAACATCGCCTCAGTAGCTCATTATTATCTGCTATCCAAGTTGCCTATTGACCCAGTACAAGTATTGATAAATACGAGCTAGTAATAGAGAAATAGACATAACAGAAGAATGACAATACCCATCTGCATAGAAATACCTATCAATTTGCTGCTAACAAATAGTTTATTTTTTGTTGTTTTCATGGTATCTTCAACTTTAGTTCCATATGAAAAAAAGTTTTCTTTTTCGCACCTATTATTGTTTCTTTTCATTATAAAACTCAGTATTCCGATTCTGAATAAACACTTGTTCACATACTTGAAAATTTTTTTCATTGTATAAGAGTTGGTCCCGAACTTCGCAAAAATTACTGATTATATGAAAATTAGCATTTGTCGACACTTCTCTCATCATCATCAATAACAAAAAGATGAGACTGTCAACTCTAACATAACACGCGAAGCGCATTTGATGAACGTCGAATGTATCGACTCGTACAACATATCGATAATTATAAATGTGACTCGCAAATTTTCATTTCGAATAAATTCAAGTAATGATATTTTTGAAAATTAACTGTTAAATTTGAGAAGTAAGTTTTTGACATCTGTGGCAGCTAGAGAATTAATCCAACATTTTTCTGAGTACAAACAGACGATTTCAATCAGAACAATTCACCAGATATAGTGTTTATCAATTACAGGGACTCTGTTTTAAATACCTATTTTGATGCTTACTCATAAATCCTATTGCATACAGATAGTGATTTTTGTTTGGTTTACATTTTCATTTTTCATGTTCGTCACTACTGTTCTATTTTCTATTTGACATGAATATGACATCAATCGGTCAACGTCGGAATGTACGTATTGGATGTTGATAATATTCTGATTTTCTTGTGGAATCATTTCTCAAATGAATATTCAATTGCTTGTTTGCTTCTCAAGTTAGCCTCTTTTCAGCCAATAAGTAATCAAGATTCCGATATGCAAGAAGTAATAGAAAGATATTGAAAAGAACTTATATCTTCATCTTCTACTTCGAAACTCAAGACAATCTGACTTTGAGTCGATTCGGTCGTACTGCATCTTCTGTTTCAGATTAATTGTTACTCTATGGCTGATACTAGAAGTCACCTGAATTCAAACAAAACATTGTTTTTATTATGTGTGATAAGAGCTGTTGTGTGTGCACACCATACAAGGTAAAGTAATGAAAGATAAACGACAACAAACGATAAATTCATTTCTAAATAAACGTCATTCGGTCAATAATAATGTTATCAAATGAGTCACACTCTGTAAGCTGATATAAGTTTGTTCTTATTTTATCATTTTTCATCATTCTTTCATCGTAACTCGTGTTTCAATATCATTGATATAATTATGATGTTTGCTGCTCTAATATTCGTTTTACTTCTTTTCGTACCACAATCGATCATTGGTGAACCAGAATTCGAAACAATTCCATTACGCTTCGATGCAGTTATTCAACGATTGCGCGATTTTTATCAGCATCATCCAGATGTCGTCAACGATCTGGCAAATACGCCTATTGTAACAATTCGACCGGAGCTACTCTTAACTAACATATCATTTTCAAACAATCAGAGTACTGCTTGTGAACGAGATTTGGAAATATTAAAAACTGCTGCATTACAACGTCAATTATGGGCAATGAAAGTGTTCGATGCTTGGGGCAAACCACTACCATCTGGTCTATTGAACGGAAATATGTTTTGGATAGGTAATTATGATGAATGTATTAATCCACTCTATCAAATAAACAATAAATCTTTCGTTCGACAACCAATTGACACTCAATATTGTATGTCGATATTCTTCACCTCTTATTTAGAGAATTAAATTTGTTTTCTTTAGGTGCTCTTCAATCCAGTCCCATTAACCCACAATTAATGACGGGATTTAGTTTGGTACTTGGTCTTTGTCTGCCAGCATCTTGTACTCGTCAATCAATTGTTACACTCATACTTGAAATATTCAAAGTTCATAATTTGACTAAAGATTATTTACAATGTTCAAATGATCGTTCTAATGAACAGAATGGTCTTTCGTCTGGTACTATTGCCTTTAGTATCGTTCTATCATTCTTGGCTCTACTTGTGTTGATTGGGACAATCATCGATCTTGCTATTCAAATATATATTAATTGGAACAAGAACGAAAAGTTACCTATCAACGGATATGAAGATTTATCGGATGAAATTTCAAATAAGTATGTATCACACACAGTAGCTGATCAATCATTACAATCTTTGACCCAAAAAATGCCTATCATCGTATTTATTGGAGAATTTTCAGCCATTCGCACACTACGACATATTTTTACAATAAACAAGAAAGAGAACGAAAACTCGTTCACATTTCTCAATGGTATTCGTGTTCTTTCTCTCTTCTGGGTTATCCTTGGTCATGCATTTGCTTTCGGCATTTTTTACACATCGAATATCATAGATATGCTTACTAATTCGCGCAATTTTGCATTTCAATTAATCACTAGTGGTGTTTTGAGCGTTGACACATTTTTTCTTCTGAGTGGCTTTTTAACTGCGATTCTTTTCGTTCGGCAAGTAAGAAAAGAACGACTCTCGCTACGATTAATGGTTCTCTACTATATTCATCGATATCTTCGTTTGACACCGACTTTTATTTTGGTCATGTTTGTCAGTATTTATATGACGCCCTATTTCGGTCATGGACCTCTTTATCCTATTCAACAAGGATTCGAACCGGTCGGTTGTCGTAATGGTTCTTGGTGGACTTCATTTTTATACATTGGAAATTTTTTCAAATCAGATAATATGTGTCTCGGTGTAACATGGTATCTTTTCAATGACATGCAATTTCATTGGATTGCTCCGCTAGCATTAATTCCATTTGTAATGAGACAAAAAGTTATTGGATACATAATGACAATACTATTCGTATTTGTCAGTATTGGATCAATTCTTGGTCTTCTTCTCTATTATCCAAGTATGGTCACACATGCATTGGATATTTCAAGTAATGCGGTAAGTGAGTCAATAATGTCTTCTAATGATTTCTCTGAGATCTGAATTATTTTGCTTCTTGCTTTTAGACGGGTCCGAATTTCTTCGATAAAATCTACGTGACTCCGTGGTGTCGTATTTCACCCTATGCTATTGGACTTTTCACCGGATTTCTTGTTATCAATACCGGTCGTACCTATCGTTTGAATAGTTACATTCGACTCATTGGAAATCTTTTCGCTATTATACTTGCCTTGGCTTGTATCTTTTCGATCTATGGCGATTATATACTAGTACCTGGTCTTAATCGAGCTACACTCATCATCTACCAAAGTCTATCTCGACCCGCTTGGTCGATCTCGATTTCGTGGCTCATTTTTTTGTGTAGCATCAATCAAGGTGGTATCGTCAATCGAATATTATCTTTTTCCATTTGGACACCATTAGCACGTTTGAATTATGCTGCTTATTTGATTCATATGACAGTTATCTTTGTTACTGTATTCAATCAATCAATTCCTGTGTACTATCAACCAATGACCTTTGTCAATAGTTATATGTCTACACTGTTCTTTAGTTATTTGGCTGCAATCGTCGTTGTGATCTTTTTTGAAACACCCTTCTTTGTTCTAGAAAAGAAAATTTTTAAGCGATAAAGTTCCGCATCTTTGAAACTAAATAAAATAAATACAAAAATTCAAAAGTAACTTGATTCCGTTCTAGACAGAAAATACCGAAGAAAAACTTCCAGCATAAGAAAAGATCGATTATGATTGAACTAGTCAGAAAAGTCAGTGAAAATAATGGAACATCTCTTAGATCTCAAAATAGACAGTGTCAAATCGTCCAACCACCGATTTCCGACGAAACCCGACGAAATCAGGATTGCTTGTGATCACTGGATGTTTAATTTAGAATGATATGTGAAAACTATGCATTATCATTGAGACTGTTTGAATTACTCAGTCAAACATCTTCTTCTTGAAACATCAATTGTGAAAACGATAAAAAGCTTTTCCAAATAATTACTATTTAAACAGTATGATATATTCTTGAAAACTTGTTCAAACGAGTTATAAAAGCGTCTAGTTGCTTAACACATTGTCATTGTTGAAACGGATAAATTGCAAATGTCTGTGACCCTTTAAGCGCGATTTTTTTTAGAGATATCAAACAATTTTAACAGTTTGGATAGGTTTTGTTGTGAATGTGAGCCCACCCATGATGAAAATTTACTACTCGAAAAAAAAAGTGGTGGTAAAAAGTTTTGTTTTCATTGAATATTCTATAATGAACGTATAAAAACAGAATTTTTTTTTCGTTGTGTTCTATTACTTTGGATACAAGAAGAGAAACGAAAGAAAAAGTCATAACCAATATTATAAAATGGCTTGGTAAACGATGCAAAAAGACAATCGATGCGAGTCAGTAGAAGGCTCATATTCACTCTAAATGTCCGCTCGCGGCAATAAATGTGAAAGTGAGAGTTTGATATGAGAAAGATGAGAAGAAGGAATGAAGAAAGTATCGCTAAAATACGAGCAATATGATGTCATTTCTGATATTCATGACTAATACGCAATCTATCAAAAGTAAACACTCATTTCATCAACAAAATCAAATGCATCGTCTTAGTCAAATATTTTTTTAACAGAAAATTACAGAATAAAAAATAAAATTAGAATGTCAACAAATAAGAGAATAATCGTCATTTAAAAGCTCAATAAATGCACGTATGATTGTAGATGATGAATCATTCATCACCATTTGTTAAATACAATTACTCTTATTGCCGACGAAGGAAACGAGAGAAGCAAACACACGACAAAAACGCCATAAACATGCTCAAATTGTATTGTTGTAAGGCAGATAAAAAATGGGAACCAAAGATCCAAACATATTGAGGCTAAATTGAAACAAGACGAAAACGTCTACAAATCTATACATTTTTATTTGCTTTCTAAGATCATCATGAAACGAGCAAGTGGAGCATCATAAGGCAAATGAAAGTTTTGTACAATCTGTTACAGTCAACAGTCAGTTTCATATTTTCTCATTCGATATTTTTATCATTGTTTCCTAGAGAAAGGATCTATTAAATTCCTGATATCAAACGAAATATTCGTCATTCTCTCATCGTGAGTATATCTGCAATGAAAACAAGCTAAAAGAGACGCAATAACAAATTGAAATATGATTGTCTTGTACAAATTAAAAAATATAAAACATCACGTTAACTTTCTCAATCTGTGTAACATAGTTTCAGCAGAAAATGTACCTATATCATTAAAACTATTTTTCAATGATTGTTGAAAAACTAAATTATATCATTCAATAAAAAAAGATTTATTCCTGCGTATTTTTAAATGATTCAATTATCGTTCGTTTTTGTTACTAGAACTCTTCTTTAGTATTTAACTTCATCCTAACAATATGAGATTATTCAATTACAAGCATTTTTCAGGAAAAAAGTAACCCCATTCTTTAGATATGTTATAAGGTCTCAGCTAATAGCTACAGTTTTAATATTATTTGAGTCAAATAGTAATGATTAGAAGCTATTACGTTATGTCTTACTTCAAAAATATTCTATTTAAGTACATCTATGATTATTTGAGATTTGAACTTATAATACAATGTCTAATAGTGGCAAATGAAAAGCTCTAACATATAATCAATTATTCCAGTAAGCCTTTTTACGAAGACAAATTGATATGATGGATTTTGTACTGTTTTGAATTCAAAAGTGAATTCATAGTAGTTAAGTAATGGAGAAGTGTGAATGACAGAATAACGAGATTCACCAAACGTGTCAAGGAATTATTTTGACTTCTGAATTATTAGAATTGTGAGTAACACTTCGTTTTGATGATAGGAACGCATCTCTCTCTATATTATAGAATCAAACTGTGTTGATTTATCTGAAACTCCTTGCCGGAATCCATTCAATTTTTTACATCTAAAAATTTTTATTGATTTTAGTAATGAATTCGTACATCTTCGAATTCCTAAGGATTCTAAAATTAAAAGAATTTAACTACATCTCATTTCTAGCACATCCTACGTTCTTTCGGTGTTATTGTTCCGTCAATTCAACGCGAACATCCCAAAAATTAGTGACATGCAATCTAAATTTCAATAAAAAATCAACAATCTGATTTTGGTTATCCGCCCGAATTCTTTGACCATTACTGGTGTACATTTGTGCTCTGAACGATGTGACAAGTATTAACTTCCACTTAATGCTAAATAGTTTGTGTTATTTGTCAACTTCTTCATTTCCTTTAGTATCTATTTCTAGTTTTTGCAATCGTATCAATGAAATTGAAGAATCGAATTACATACTCAGTAACATGCTAAGATAATCATTTGCTCATATAATAAAGAGTGTGGGTGTGGGTGTGGATGATCTGCTTTCATCCACACCCACACCCACACCCACAAAAATTTTTTTTCTCAAGAGAGAAGGATGTTAGGATATATGTCAATCCGACATCTACATATACTAGTCTTTTAATTCTTTCGTGTTGTCTTTCTTCTCTTTCCTTCTTTTGTTTTATTTCTCTCTATATATAAATACATAAGTGATGATGTTAGAGTAGCACTTTTTTTTTCGTTTATAAAATAAACTTTATGTTTTCACTTGAACACGCCTCTTTTTCTTATAATGAAAACATAACAGATGTTAACACTGCTTTATTATGATTAATTTTTTCAATTCTATCTTTATCAATTAACGATACAATTGATAACGACAGATCTTTATATGTACGTATAAAGTTATCGGTAGCAATTGTTGAATTCTGATGAAAGTGTGAATTAATATGACTTTTTCATGGTGTAGTAAAATGTTTTAAGTGTTTGTATCGATAACAAGATTTATCAACAAATAATTCTAATTTTTGTCCTTGAACGTTACGAAATAATACACAATTTATGTAATAACCACTCTCAATATATGGCGAATAAACAAGAAATGAATTATCATTCAACCAATTGATCAGAAATCGACGAGAACATGTATGATCATTCGAATATAACGTTGGAAATGAGTATTTTCGATCAGGTTTAAAATGATTTGTTAATAGAGAATATTTCAATTCATCATTAATTGACAATTTATTTAACAGATAATAGCCGATATCATTTTTATTGGTATCGGGTCGAGAATCAATTACTTTCAATCCATTACCTTCGACGCTAATATTAAGTTCAACGTTTAACTGATCTAAATGTTCAGAATCATTGGATAAAAATAAATTGGAGCCATCATTATTTGTCGTATTTGTAATCACTACGAGTGTATTTGAATTTGGTATTAAATTTTCAGAACCACGACGTATTTTTTTCGTAGAAAAATTATAATTTAATAATGTATTAGGTCTCTTTTCATTCGACATAGCTTAATGTCAGTGCTATTTACAGTAGAAGAAAACAGAACAATGAAATGATAAGTGCACAAATGTATATATATATATATACTTGTTCTGTTCTTTTTTCTTTCATCTTTTCTTATAATACTAATATGGAGGAAAATGAACTGTCACTTATCTCGTCCAATATGTTGCCTTGTTTCTTCCATAGTAGTGTGTTATAAGAAAAAATGAAAGGAAAACAAAAAGAAAAGTATATATATACGATTGAACACTTATATTTTTGTTGTTCTGTTTTCTTCTGTCAACTCTTCGCGAAAAGAAAAAAGTTCAAAATAATGCATGTGTGATTCAGATGGAAGAAAAAGATGGTTACCCACGTCTACTCGTACGCTGTGGTACGCGTGACGTCACGTACGATTGGTACGCGTGACGTACGTAGAGGTGACGTCACGCGTACAGAGTGTTACGTCAATGATACCGTCACGCGTTCCGAGCGTTACGTGTATAGCGTACTACGGCGCGTACGAAGCGTACGTACAGTTTGTAACACGTCTCTCTATTGGTCCGTTTTTATCCTAGAATCTACGTGCTACCTTCGTCTGATTTTCTAATTAACTGTAGAAAAATAATTTATTTTCTATTAGAATTTTATTTATATTTTAAAAAATTTAACAACTCGAAAAACACACAGATACACATAAAAAATTAGAAATTATTTTTTTCCACAAAAAAAATTGAAAGAACTAAAATATTTAAAAAGTTAAAAAAATTAAATTAATAAAAAAACTAAAAACATAGAAATCATTGCATCTAGAAAGAAAGCTAAAATAATTAAAAAAATTTTAAAAAATTGAAATTATTTTTATCTAGGAAAAGAAATTAGAGTGCTAAAAAAATTATTATATCTAGAAAAAAATTTAAATAATAAAGGAATAAAAAACCAATTACTTGATCTAGAAATAAAAGAAATTTAAATAATAAAATAATTTTAAAACTTGAAACAATTCAAAATTTTTTGAAACAGTAAAGGATATGGCCTTCGACTAACAATTTTATAAGTGTGCTTTCTTTGTTATTTACTGGTTCATAAAAACGAACCAATAAAAAAAAAGAAAAATATCACACTTGGTACGTGTGACAAACGGATGTCACGCTTCTTACGCATCACGAACGGCTGTTATGCTCGGTGCGCATGACGTACGCGTTATGTCACGCGTACTAAGCATGACATAGCGTGACATCACGCGTACCAATAGCGTACGAGTAGACATGGGTACCAAATAATCCAAAAATAAATATAAGAATCCTGAAAGAGTAAAAGTTCAATGGGCAAAGACTTACTAATACGAAATTACAATGGGCAAACCTCCAAATGAAATGGGCAATTGCCCATTTGCCCCACCCCTTGGCTACGCCACTATGCCAAGCTACAGATGACTGATATTCAAAACAAAAGAAAAGTCTCAAGAAAGAATGAGACAAATATCATTATCAAATTTGCAACGTAATAAAGTTGAACGAAAAACTTATCACGAATTAAAAAATCCATGGTTTTTGGAGAAAATGAATAATCTAGAACTAAAGAACGTTGAATAAAACTAGAAAAATATACTTTGTGTATACAAATACATGCATTAAAAGAAACAAATAATATATCAAAGCGTAATTAGAATAAATCCGTTATGTCGCGGCAGAACGACTGAGCGGCTGAGTAGCAGAGCGGTCCGAGGACGGTAGAGCGGCATAACGGCCGGACGACCAACATTTTGAAAGGCTCCCTCCCATTTTGAGGACTATGCCAAAGTTGACCACCTTATTTCTCGAGTTTAGAACTGAAAATAAATTATTTGTATCATGACACCATGTATTATTCTGATGAACTATGTTTTAAGTTAGTTTATTTTGTTTAAAATAAAAAAGATATGAGATTAAAATTTTAAAAACTAAAAACACAAAATCAATTGTAAAACTGAAGTGAGCAAAACTCACTAATGATTCGTTATATTAACGTAGCTTAGGAATGACGGTTCTGGCGAGAACACGAATATTCTTGGTGATTTACAGCTGATGCTCGACGACACTTTCTCCGTATACATCTGATCACTGCTTCAGCTGTATTCTGGCCAGTAGTATATGCACCTTGCAGAAAGCCATAATATTGAGATGAATATGCTTCACCAGCAAAATAAAGCCGTTGAATTGGTGCTTGAAGATTTTGATGTTGATATTGAGATACACCTGCTGGCCAATTGCTATATGAACCTCTATGAAATGGATCTTCTGTCCATCGATAACAATAAAATTCATCGGGCTGTGGCACATTTCTACCATACATACTTCTCAATACGGACATGATCTCGTTTAATGTTTGATTGTTACTTTTTGCTTCAACAATATATGATTGATCTGTAACTATGGTAACAAACGTAATATTACTATTTGGAAAAAAGCCAGCTTCGCTTAATGATTGCCATATTGGGTAATAGCCTCTTGTACAACGATCTGCATAGAGAGTAAATTGTGTATTGTTCCAAAATTTATAAGGAAATTTGAGAAAAATTTTCGTATAAGTAGCCATTTTGAATGAAAAAATGGCTTCTTGCTTCCATGCTGGAAATGATGGAACGAATTCAACATCCTGGTTTTGAAGTACACCAAGGGAAAAAGTACAAATCGCATATTCTGCTGTAATCACTGTATTATCTTTGAGTAGAATTACAACCGATTTGTCACAATAGGTGACTTTTTTAACGATGCTATTATACATGATGTTTTTATTCGTAGAAAATGTTTTGGCCTCATTTCGTACCAATACATTGAAGCCCCGTTGATCAATACACAATAAATTCTCTTCATTCCATTGTATATAAGTTTCATTGTAATTAACTGCTGCTTCGATCATGCTCGAGGCAGCGGGAGTGTCGGCATATTCATAATCAAAGGTGAAATATTCAGCTACTTTTTCATGTGGTGTTTGGGCTTTCCATGCATTCAAGAGTTGTCCTTGATCGAATGACAAATCAGCAAGATTTCTTTTCAATCTGGTTCCAGCATCTTCAAGAACTTTTGTGAATATGTCATCGTATCGTTTTTGAACATCTCTATAGTCAGTATATCCATTTTCGTCGTATGTTGATAAATCATCATAATTACTAGCTACGTTCAATAAATTGTATTTTTTGGCCAGCACCAATATTGGATTTTCTTTATCTGCTTCTGTATTCGTCGTTCCCTGAATCCAGTTTGCTCCTAATTCAATAGTATAGCCGGCAAATTTCGTATGTTTCATTCGTCCGCCTAAATCGCTTTCCGCTTCAACCAGAACAAAATCCTTAACACCATTTTCATATAATGTACGAGCAGCAATCACACCAGCCATACCCCCGCCAAGTACTACAACCTTTGTCTTGATAGTCTTAGCATCATGTTGGCTAACGAGAAGCATCAACATCAACATAATCGGATATAATACAGAAACTTTCATGTTGCTTGCAGTGAGGAATCTCATGAGAATGCCTAAAGCTAAAATATGATTCGAAAGAGATTCAAATAACGGGTGGTACAAAACTTTTGTATTAATTTTATTTTCATTCTGATACTGCTCATAAGTAGTCTAAACAGGTTATTTTTTACAATTAAAAAGAACATAGTCTACAGCAGATATTTATATATTGTTTCATCACATATTTGCTTTTCTTTCAGACGAAAAAATAAGATGAAAATAAGTACTACAATTGCGTGTTTCAACTTTCTAATGGATGCTCCGAAGAAAAAAACTTCTCAGTAACTCATAATCAAAAATAATAATCGAAAACTTTAGATTCAATGTAGTTTTATCTACTTATTCATAATAATAGTAGCATAACAGAGTTTTTGGACATCTCTGTCCATCAACAGCAGAGCTTGTTGTTGTTCATTTATGCCTACCTATCGATGAGTTAATCAATACTAATACAGTATAAAAGTGGCTGTTTTTTTATGTAAGTGACATTAGGATTCTGAATACATGTTTATGATTCACAACGAACAAGACAAAAGAAAGAGCATAATAAATGGATCATTCAGCAAAAACTAGAATGAAGGCAAGATTATTCCTAAGAAATCTATTTTTAAAAATGTTTGCTGGAGATAGAACCATATATCTTTCAGATAATTTCTACTACTTGCTCAGTGTTTTACGCTGTTTCTAATCTTGTAATTTTATTTTGTCTATATCACACAAAGAATTTTTAAGGATTCCATATGATTGAATTGGATCAATCTGCAAAATTTTGACCCTATTTGAATTAATAGAAAAAAATTGCTTCTACCTATTCGAACCGAATACCAGCAAGCTGTTCAATTTTCAAATCATAAAAAACATTGAATAAAGTCAAACTTTTAAAATAAATCAAGTTTAAAGTGATTGAGAGAGTACATGATATTATGACTATGGACTAAGTTTCTAAATTTGAAAACTTCTTTATATTCTATCGAAACTCTAAATTATTTTATGTTGTATTTATTTTGAACAGATCTTTTTCATGCATCATTTTCAAGAACATTTCAAGCTTTTGTCTCTTCTTCTCATTCGTGTGGATAATTTTTTTCTTTTCCTTCTCTTATATACGTGAACGTATATATCATCGCAGTTGAAAGAACGAAAAAAAGTTAAAAAAGACAAAAAAACAACGTTCTATCAGGAATTATATTCTAAAAAAATTTGCTTTGGACTACACCATACCTCGTGCTCACATTTAAGGGTAATACTCAGTTTTTCGTGTTCTTTCCAACAATGCTACTCTTGCAAATTCGACTTTTAGTCAATTTTCTCCGACCAGCGGATACGTACAATAAATTAACAGGAGAATGTCAGACTCCACCTAGTATCAAGAACTTAAGCTTATGTCGATCAAGTCAGATGAAAAACATAGTAATATGTTATAATAGGTCTAAAAGTTTCTGATGAAGTTTTCAAAACTGTAGCTCAACGGAGAGGCGTGATAGAACCATCGGAAAAGTTCACCATAGCACCGCTTATCGAT